TCAGGTAGAGAGGTATACAGCCCACCTTAGCTGCCAGTAATAAGAATACCCTGACCCCCCCCCAGGTAGAGAGGTATATAGCCCACCTTAGCTGCCAGTAGTTCCTCCACTCTCTTCACCTCCATCACATAGTCCTGCACCTGGTTCTTCAACTCCTCTCTCTCATCTATCGTGTCCTGGAGATCTTGGTTTAGATTCTGCCGATTTGACAAAAAAATACACTTCTTATTTATATAAGTCATTATTTTTCTTCCCCTTCTGCCTATAATATCTACAGGTAGACAAGGGCTCCTGGTCCTTTACCAACTTAAGGAAAACACAAGAATCAACACACACAGAAAAATATGGGCCAGAGCAAGGAATTAGATGCTAAAACTATCCTCATAAGTTGTAGAGGGTTGTATATACTGTGGCATTATAGAGAGAGAGAGAAAGAAACTGTGATTTAGGCACATTTTTAGAAGCACAATTTCATCTTACAATGGATTACAGTATAAATCTAAATTATAACAATAAACTCTAATAAGACTGTACCTGGTTCTCTCTCGTCATGGCTGCAAGGTCATCTTGAAGTCGCCTGTTTTCTCGTAGAGCCACCTCACGCCCCCTGGTGGTCTCTGACAGCTCCTCGGTGGTACTGTCCAGCTGGCGACGCAGGCTCTTGATCTCGCGGTCCAACTGGTTAATATTTTCATTGGCACGACTGAAGGAGACGGCATTGGGAAGTGTAATTATGATGATTAAAAGTCATGAATTTTCTTTGTGTAAAGACCAGTTTACTACGTACATAAACGTATTCTTATTGAAGACCTTTCTAATTTTTGGTCCATCAGATATATCTACATGGTTAAATCATTAGTATAACCAAATAACCATTATCTATTCTTAATCTATTCACCTCATGTGAACTTTCAAATAAATGCAGATATATTTTAATTCTACAGAGAAACCATTTGAAGAAGTACTTACTCCAGCTGGGCCTCTAACTCTCCTATATTTATCCTTAAATCACTGATCTGTCTGTCCTGTTTTCAGGGAAATAAAAAGAATCAAATTAAAATATTGTCTCTAAATATAAACATAAAATCAAATCTGAAATGCTGTAAAGTTTCAGGCAAAAAATACTCCAAATAATCTATTTAAACACAGGAAGTTGTTGTTGTTGGATATTAGTTGAGATTTATATTTCTATTTTGGTTACATACAAATTTACTCTCTTAGGTTTTCTACTCCAGTTTAACCAAGGTGAGATAGGTGAGATATAATGTTTAACTCACCCTAACTACAACTTCTGCATCCAGACCAGCTATCCTTTCGGACTTCTCATCCACTGTCATTTGAAGACTGTCTTTCTCTCCGTCTAGTGCACTTATTGTGCCGCGGAGCTGAGTGATTTGATCTGATTGGTTAACATTGGCACGCTGCAGGTCTGTGGAACGCTCCTCCAGGCGTAGAATTCGTTCCTCCGCCACTTTGAGATCTCCTTCCTTCCTGGTGAGTCTGCGTCTGTGCTCTTCCAGGGCCTCTTCCGTCTGCTCTGCCAGCAACCTGAAGATATCAAATGACATTTAATATTAAAGGGATAATAACTCTTCTTTCGGCCAAAAAATGAATTTTCCTGGAGTAAACAACAATTTTCCCATACTTACCAATGGTAAATGAATCAATTTTTACATTCATAGTTAGTCCCTGGTTTTTTTCTAAAAAGTTTGGTTTTTTGTTAAAATCTCTTAAGAGATTTTAACAGAGTATAGCCATCAATGGAGGTCTCGTGGTCTAAAGACAAGCTCAGATATCAGAAAAAATAGCTATAACTGCCGTTTTTGTGGTAAAACAGAATATATTATATTTCTATGAGTTATTCACAATGTTTTTATTGTGAAATATAGATCTCATACGAAGAGTTATTATCCCTTTAACAATATATGGTGGTCCTGGTATATTCTCAATAATATTCCAAACACCTCACAAAATCATGTATAAATGTATGACTTGGGTTTTTTCGGCTTCGCTCATAAAAATCGTTCTGTTATATAACTGTATATTGAATAAATTGTATCTCTATTTTAGATTTTCATCTACTCATATAGGCGTACATGCTATAATAAATACAGCATTACGTAGGTAGCAGGATGACTTGTGTGCCCTGGTCACTGTCACTGTCATTCATTTTGTCCATTTTTCAGCCCAATGGACACTTGTAGTAGTGGTAGGCAAGCAACAAGTCTGAATCAATGTGAACTAGTCTGAAGGTGGAATCAAAGGGCAATGAAAAAATATTCCGAAAACAATGCTCAACTTTTCAGTAACACAACTAGTCATTTTGAAAAATCCCAAGTTTTTACTGGTGAAACACCTTCCGGTCAGTTCTCTGACACCAGTAGTGGCCAGCAACACAGTGCCCGAGTGACCACCCACCTCATCTGCGTGGCCGTAGCTTTGTGCTGAGATCCGTCCTCCAGAGCAGCATTCAGCTGGATGTTCAGCTCTCTACACTGGTCTTCTGAGGAGTTGGTCAGAGCCTTCTGTGTACTTAGGTTAACCTGAAGTTCATTCCTCTCCACCTCAACCTGAAATATAGACCAGATAATGGTCATTAGTCCGTTTTCTCAGAAGATTTTGCAGTATTTGTGAATAAAATTTTGAAGAAATAACAGGGTCAGGGAAGGAGTTGCATGTTAAATGTTATGCAGTCTCTACAAAACAGAAAAATAATGCAACTGATTAAATGTAACAAATCATAATCCAATCTATGAAGAAGATTTAATTGAAAATCTGAACAAAAAAATAACACGGAGGGGAAGGTGAGCAAAGGTGGGAGCTGAATGTCCCTGCAACTAATTAACTTCTAATATTTGGAGTACCATTTTTCAATTGCTGTCACTTACATTATGCAGTGCATTTTCTAAATCTTCTATTTTTTGTTCCAGCCTGGCTCTGTCTGAAAGACTTGTTTCTGTGGCCATCTGCAAGAGGAAATCATTCTACCTAAGATTTTTGCCAAATGATTTCTAAACCATTACACGTGTATCTGATTTCCATATAGAAAGGAAACTCTTATCTTTACGTTTACTGTTCAAATTCTTTACAGTAATGATAAGAAGAATAATTTCAATATTTTCTTTTTTACCTTTAGCCTCTCCCTCATACTATCTCTCTCTGTGGTCATACGCCTCAGGTCTGCAATTGCGTCATCCCTCTCATTCTCCACGCGCCGTAACACTGCCTGCGCTGCCAGAGAGACTTTGGGAGACTTGGGAGACTTCACCACATCTCTCCTCATCCTCTGCAGCTCTTCTTTAGTCTTGATGTGAATAGTATTTAATAGTTAGACCAGGGAAGGAAATAAACAATTATATGACAATGTACTAAGAAATCACAAAACTTTCAGAGACAGAGAGCCCGAAGTGTATCCATACCTATGCTAAGTGCCTGTAATTGTGTGTACGAACGAGGGCAAATGAAACTTTTCAGGCATCTCCACAACAGATCTTCCACAAAATAATAACCTTGCTTTTCTGCTCATCATTTAGCTAATAAAGGCCTATACTGGTATCAGTGGGTGTGTCAGAACTGATAACCATACCCACCTGTTCATACATCAGATTCAGCTTATCTCTCTCTGACGTTAGCACCTTGACATTGGACTGGATCTCGGCCATGTGCCGCTCAAACTTGTCCAGTAATGCCTGTAACTCGTTCCTCTCTCGGGTCACCCTGAGCAGCTCTGTCTCCTCGGCAACACTCTGAACAAGAAACAGACAGCTTGCCTCAGATGTGAAGTCAATAAAACACTGCAAGATGCTGGAGTACAAAATTATTTGTCTCAAATTCACCAAAACTTTTAATTGAATTATTTCCAATCCTTATTACAAAGTTTCTAAGAAATTTTAAAAATTCACGTTTCGAAATTGAAAAAAAAAAATAAATAAATAATAAAATGAAATTTAAAAAATAAAAATTTAAAAAATAAAAATTAAACAACATGAAAGAGAGGGGAAAGTTACACACATAGACTGAAATAATACAAAAAAATTATTTCACATAATAAGCTCAAAGCCTCACCCTGTCTCTAGTTGGAGGAGAGCGAGCAGGACTGGCTGTTCTGGACATTGTGCGTGCCTTCTCGTACTCTTTCTTGTAGAAATCTCTCTCGTCCTCCAACACACGAACTATGGTCTCGTAGTGAGCTGCACTCTGTCAAAATACACAGAACCTGATGACTTCTGTACCTCCCAACAATGTAAATAATCAAAATGGATATATATTTTTGATTACTCCTATAGATCAGTCTTAGTGAAATAATGCCAGTCATACGGATAAATTATATTTTTAACGCTTTTTTTTAAAGACTGATACAAATATCAAAACCTAAGCTAAATGCATGACTGTCTGTTTTTCCGTATCTCGTGAAGATTTTCCATTTAAACTCCACATCAGAGCTGTACCTTTCCTCCTGGGGAGGTGTCACGTTTTGCCCTGGCTGGACTGCGTCCCCTGGCTGGAGAAGCTGACCGCTGCTGCTGCATCATCTTCTGCAACGTGTCCACCTCTCCCTTGTAATAATCCCTCTCCTCCTCCAGCCCCCGGATAAAGGCATCCAGGCGGTTGGGAGACTTGCCTCTTTTCTTGACTAGGCCGTTTTTCTTCTTCAACCTCTCAATTTCTAACACAAGCTCTCTCTCTGAAAAGTGAAAAGTAAGCAAGCACAGGAGTGAACTTAAAAATGTGTATAATTTGAAGGGTGTTTCAATACTTCACAGCAACACCACAACACAAGCTCTCACTATGAAAAGTTAACCAAAACAGGAGTAAAACAACAAATATATATAATTTTAGGTGGGTGTTGCAATACTTCATGTCATCAACTTTGGAACAACACCTTCATTATATATTTATTACTTTTTTATTTTCATTTATTGTTCTTCTTAACAAAAATCAATTCATTAGTGAACTCCCAATATCTGTCTACACTACTTACCATTGGAAGTTAATTTATTCACTCTCTGACTGAGCCTCTTCTTGTCTTCCTGCACTTTGGCCATAAGTTCTTCCAGTCTCTGGTAGTCTGCTTCCCGCGACGACAGCCGCGACCTCAGAGCTGCATTGTCTTCTCCATACTGCTGCTTTTCCTGATAACACACAGGTGACATATTGTTTACAATTTACTAAAACATACAGTCTGCTTTCATGCAAGACAACTTACACACCAGGTAATTGTTCTCTCTAAATAGAATATTTTAAAATTAATATGTACTTGTAAAGAGTTAATGCAGGTATAGCACGCATATAGGTTTGTATTACTAGACTGTGTTTAAGGCTATTAAAATGTAATGAAAAACTACATGGCAACTGCCAAACTGTTGCCCTTCTATTTAATACAGGTAAACATACAGACTTCGATGAATATTTAATACTAACAGCACTGTGTTTGTGCTACTGTATCATTAAATCACATGGAAACTGGAAACTTATAAGTCATGCTTTTGCATCAACATAGCTTAACTAAAGATATAAGCACAACAGACCAAATTAAACCCTAAACAATCTTTGAATTACTTACTTCTCTTAGTTGTGACACTGTAAGATCTAAGTCTTGTAATTCTTGCCTTGACCTTTCAAGCTCAATCTAGAATTGAAAAGAACACACAATTGTCACCAATAAGTCAAAAGTGGTTTAATTTTCAAAAAGAAGTTAACAAGAATTGAACACACACACACACACACACACACACACACACACACACACACACACACACACACACACACACACACACACACACACACACACACACANACACACACACACACACACACACACACAAAATACACAAACACACACACTTACCTTAGCATCTGACAGCTCCATATCAGCACTCCTCATCACGGAATCTTTCTGTAGCTGCAAGGACTGTGCCATGCGGTCCACATCCTCCAGGTCCGCCGCCAGGGCCTTGTTCTTAGCATTCAGATCGATGGTCTCGGACCTCGCCTCCCGCTCCACCAGCTGAGCCTCATCCAGACGCCGCTGGTACTCACGATTTTTCTGCTGTAGGTAGTCAATCTGGAAGTGGGATTGAGATAGGGTCATGGGGTATTTGTGGGACAAAAGGTAGGTCACGGCGGGACCTTTGTGGAATTGTACGTCAAATAATAACTATATTTTGTTGGATCTTTGTTTTGTAACATTCACAAATTTTAACTTGATTTAAGTAAGACTATGAAAACTTGCATCATATCATTTAACAGAAATTTACAAACCTAATTTCTCTTACCTGTATATTGAGGTGTGAGATCATGCGTTCATTGGCCCTGTTCCTTGTTTCCAAGGCGACCACATCGTAGGGCCGCCCTCCGTCCAACATCCTGCCCAGACGGTCTATTTCCTCATCACGTTGGTCAACCTGAAAATACAGCAGGTTTTGGTCAGCAAAAACACGTTGACAGAAAAAAAGAGTCTACTGAGTAGTCCTTCAGATTATTCATACTTATCATTGCATTAAATTTTCACATTATTTTCTCCTTACTATACTCATTACTAAACTCTCAACCAAGACATTGTCAATCTAACAAAAACTGTTTAACTTAACTTTAGGCAAATTATTTGCAAACTGGAGCAACAGCAACCTACTGAACAGAGCACACATTCATCAGCAGTCACTTAAAAATAGTTTCAATAAATACACATTTACAGCAAACAATTCCCACCATCTGCTTCCAGGTTATCCATTGTCCTGGTCAAAAAGGACATAAATATTACACCACACTGTATTGTACCTGCTGTTTAACAGTATACAGAGATTCTGGACGAAGTGTATAGTGTACATGTAATAAATATATATGTCAGGTTTACTGAGGGAAATTATCCATTGATCTTGTATTGTGAAGACCAAGCACAGTCACAGTGATGGATGATGCCATTTGTCTGGCCTTTGTTGGGAAAACATCCCAGTATGGACCAATCAATCTCATCTAACAAGTGCTTGTCATATTAGGGCAGACTTGCCTATTGTTATTACTCTGTATGGAAAAACTTCCTTTTGTTACTTCTCAACTCAATAAATAATAAATATTACATTTCCTAATTATATCTTCTTTTGGCATGAAGCCCCCCCCTCCTCCTCCTCCAAAAAAAATATTATCTCAACCAGGTTTTACCATCTTAAAACACTTAATTACTGGTAAGAAAAGGATTCTTCATACTAGGCATAATTTTTGATTAATAAATGTGGGCTGAACGGTCAGTTTGGTCCGTATCTCTGAAAATATCTCCCTGCTTTCCTTGACCCCCAATTAATATACTAGTATGGTTAAACTTGCAGCTATATTTATATTCAGGAGCAAACACAGGGATTGTGACAAATCAGATATAATTTAGAAGTATGAACACTCCCAAATCTTCCTCTACTCCAATCATAACACTCCCAATTTGGTATGTGTTAGTAGCACGCACGCACGCACACCCACACACACATACACACATACACACACACACACACACACACCTTCCTGGTGGTAACCCTCTTGGTGACTTAAACTCTTCACATCAGCCATGTGCAATCTAAGATAAATTCTTCTCTTCAGATATCAACCATCACCGGCATGAACAACATGTGGCAGTGGCGAACGAGCGGAGCAGCCTTGAGAACTCCATATAAAATGAATTTCCCACAGAAAACTGCTTTCATGCTTCACTCAAACATTTTTCATCACTTTTAACTTACCACCGATTTGAACTTTCCAGCTGTTTTTGACAAAAATTTCAACAAAACTTTAACATGAAACCCAACCCTTGACTGTTGCAGATTTGAATTTTCCCTCTTGAATCACGTGAATGTAAATAAGACTTCAAGAAAGTGAAACAAAACAGGAAGAGGGCAAAGTGTTGTTTGTCATAACTTATGGGGACAATCGTCAACATTGTTCCACAAAGCCATTATGCTTGCTTGAAGTATCAAAATACCCAAAGCTTGCAGTATAATAATGGATTTAGAAGGGCTGGATAAATATTGGAACAACAAGGCTAAGAGGTCCCTTGAATGAATGAAATGGAACTGGAAAACACCCCTCTGAAATGCATGGCATTGAACATACACTGACATATAGCCATATCTCTGGGACAGATAAATTTTCTATTTGAAAAGCTCTACTATGAATATACTCTGTTATGTGTATATAGTATCTGCATGCATGCTTGTGCAAATATAGATGTAATCAATAAATAAAAAATATCCTTTTCTTAATTTTATAAGACAACTTGAAACATGCATCCCATTTACAAAATAGGTTAACCAGAGGGTGGGGGTGCACAAAATCCATTGCCCATAAAAAAAATTACTACCACACAACACAGACCTATTGATTTGATACCTTTAAACAAAAGTAAATTGAGAAAGATAAGTCCTTACAAATGGTTTCACTTTGTACTATAAAATAAATAGGTAGAGTGCAGTGCTTTAGCAGTTAAAAAATTATAGTAAATCAAATAAATCCCACCTGACCTGGGAAAATAAATTAAATTAATAAATACTGCAAATATTTCTCATCCATTCTCCATTCTTCACCACATCCCAAAGTCCCAAAGATCCTTTTCTGCTTTCCACAGAGGACTCAGACTTGATTAGTTGAGTAAACAGTGACACGGAGAGGGAATTGATTTCAATTAATCAAAGAATCTCTTGGGCCTATTGAGCCAGCATTCAGTGGCAGTATGTGTAATGAGGAGTACTATTGTGTGTAAACTTGACTCCCTGACTGATGAAGGCACTTGGGTCATTTGATCTTTCAATTAATTTTACATGGGGCACCCTTAATGTGTCTGATTATTTGTTTGTATAATTGTCTATTTATTTACTTTTTGATAAAATTACTACTTTATATAATACTAAAGCAAATACAAACAATTTATCTGACCTTCAGCTTCATATTTAGACTCAAACAAAGTAAGCTCTTAATAACCTTTCTCATCTGTCAACCACTGTAAACTGCATTTGAGAAAAAAAATTGCCTTGATTATAGTTCTGATAAATCAACAGAAAAGGCCAAGCCTTGTGATAACCAGCAAGAAAATGTACTGTCCTGATTAGCCAGATAACCTCAATGTAAACCATCATTCCCCACTCCCTAGCTTAACTGTGTGTCAGGCTGAAAACCAGGTTACTTTCTAACAAACTCTGAAAGTCAAGGATACTATATATTAAAAATATTAACCCAAGTTTAACTCCTTACTGAGATTAACTCAAGGCCAGTGGGACTAAATACCTATTACTTATTTATAACTGGTCTCTGAATGGATAGAAAAGTTATTTTTCTCCTTGCTAATGAACCTAATAAAAGTGAGCCAACAGAATGCCAACTCCACATCATCATTTCCTGATATAAACTCAATACTGTACGCTGCAGTTCTGTTCTACCAGGCATATGCAGATATTGCACAAGAGAAGATAATATATTAGTAAGCCCTTAGACATTCTAATCATTTCATATTGTCAAATGCACCCTGTATTTCAAAGTGCAATGGACCTCCCCCCCCCCCCCCCGGTCCCCCCACTGTCACTTTGCCTCTGTCATTTTCACTCCCAACTATATGCAAATAACAGATATAAGTATCCAGTTAAAAGAAACCCAGGGTGCTATCAAGTATATTATCCCCCATCTCTGCCCATGCTGTTTTCATTTCCAAAAAAAAAATATACATAGCACTTTTCTTTGTCTACTTTAATCTTGTAGTTCGTTTTGTAAATGGTAATATCCAGAGCTCAATAAAGTTATTCTATTATCTGACACCTATCCATCACCAGAAGGCAGACATAATAGATCAGACAGGAACACTGCAATGGTTCAGTGCACTTAGCACTGAGGGAGAACAGCTGATCTTAGTGCACTGGTAATTGCTGGGGAAAACCCAACTGAATCAATCACCCTGGAGACCCTCACTCTGCTTAATTCTGTTGCAGTGAGAGAAAATTTGAGCTTTGTATGAAAGGAAAACTTGTTGCATCTGTAGAGTATACTAGTGCATGCACTCTGTGTTCATATCAGGTCTTAAAATCCACATGAAAGTTGAAAGAAAATGAAAATGATTTCAGTTTAGATCTTCCCCAGTGAGAGAACATGACCTCTAATACAAGTGGCCACCAGAAAAATTTAATGAAAAGGCAACAGCTTCCTACTTACCTTCTAAGCCACTGACAGTGCACCTGCATGCACCACAACCAGCAAGGGAATGTGACAAAGACCCGTCCCAAGCCTACAACTGTCTTTGAACCCAAACTACCGCTGCTTGCACAATAAACATCAGACACCCCTATGCAAACACAGTGTTACATGGAGCCAGCGCATACCCAATAGACAGGGTCAATACCTCCAGTAATACCAGTCATTAAAAGTGGATAAAAAGTGTCACAGAACTGGTCAATCAATGACTTACCCTGGTTCTGCTCCTCTGGTGTGAGGAGCTTCTAGGTCTTAGGGACATTACCTCAGTCAACTCGCATCAAACCCACTTCATACATGCTCTCAGCAGTTTTTACTCACAGTAAGCCGGTTAACTAGGTCAACGTAAACCCATACCTCATTTTGAATTTCAACAGTCAGTGATAAGAAGGGTTGTTTACACGGCGCATGCTTGCTTACCCTGATACTGTGTCAGTGCATTATGGGGAGCCTTTGATTATGAAATTCAATACTCATTAATCCTAATGCTCAGCTTTCATATGCTAACCCTGGGGGAGGGGCCGGCCCAACAGTTTAAAGGAACCAATCAGTACACACCTGGATTGAAAAGTGAACCCTCATTTGCTGCAGCCATGTTGTTTACATGTTGCTAGGCTGCACACTCGTGTACAAAACTTTCACAGGGGGGATGGCGTGAAACTGCAAAAAGAATGCCTTTAAAAAAATCTGAATCCATTTCTTGATATCATTTGTGTAGCTTTTTATAAGCTTTGGAACTTGTCAATTATTTAGATAAAAATAACAGTCTAAAAAGCAAAGTGAATAGTCTTTGACATAGTTTCAGACTTACAGTTATATGGAATATTCTCTTCATCTTTCCCCTGATCCCACTAATATGTATGTCCAGTAAAAATTGAGATAATAAGAAAGTCAAGGAGGCGTATATTACATATTTACTGAGCATTTATGAAAAATAATCCTTTCAAGCCCCTCTGCAAGGTGAGTAGTCATTCAAATGGGACTGCAGACTAAACAATATTTAGTGAAAATGACATGTTTAACCCCATTTTCCACACCAGTTCCCCTCTTGTAAAAAGGTCCTTACACAAGGACATACTATTTAAAGTTAAGTGACAGGTGAGAATACCTGCATTACGAAAATATCAAGGGTAAAAAGAAGCATATTTCATATTTCTGCATTGAAAAGAATGTGGACTACAAATCTAACCTTAAACCTAGCTATGTGTGCCAGTTTACTCACGTCTTCTTTCTGGCATTATTTAATCTACCACAATTCTAAAGAATTAATATATATATATATATATATATATATATATATATATATGAAATAATTAAACTAAAGCATTATTTTTTTCAGCCCTGGTCTTTGATGATCTTTCATAGTTGTTTGCATTACATTTACACCCTCCCCAGACAGAAAAAAAACTTAAATTTTCTAACTTGCTTTAAGATGGGTTATGTATGTGTGTTCTGATCTAACAAAGATACACAAACTAGCTCTAAAATGGCAATGCATTTCAATAAAGTGCTACATCCCATATGAATTCAGGCTGGCTCTGTATCAAAATAAAACATACAAAAGTTTACCTTTCAGGACTTTTTGCATTAGAACTTGTTACTCTCTCCCAGACAACAAAAACATAACACACACATTATTTGGGTTAAACCTTCAGTTGAGGTGGTCAATATTTGAAATAGATGCACTGATATGAAAACATTCTTAAGCCATTGATTGCTTACTCTCCTCAAACACCAACTCCAAATTGCTAATATATATTTTTAACAATTTTTTTTTTTAAATTTTCTGAGACTCAGTCAAACTATACAGCCATTTGTATCCAAGCTCATACTGAAATAATATTTACAATTACTTACAATTAATTACTTTGGTAAGAGAAAAATTGTTATCTTTAACCATATTGACATGATCTCTCTTGAGCTATCTGGCAAAAGCAAAATAAAATCTGGCAAACCCAGTGTGTTTTTCACTGCCAACAAATAGACAAGTACAAAAAAAATGTTTTGTCCATAAATAGCTTGTAACTGTTAGAACAATGCACATCTGTATGGAGTACAGGTACCCTTTAAGGGCCATTCCATTGTATTTCCCCCTTCAGTTCCATCTTCCCTCCAATATTAAAGTTTTTGCCACTTCTATGACTGCATTCCCATAAACCCATCATACTAGCTAGATCGATCTAATTTTGCAAGGGTTCTTGCTAAACTGCATCCAGTGTAATCAGCTTAATTGTCTGGCACGCCCCTTTGAGTAACTAGGAGGTAATCGACTGTGGTTAATTACCCCTAGCAGCTTGAAGAGCTATAGGTTTGTCAGACATCTATACGTTAGGTATAGAAATGAATTTTTCAATAAAATTAAAACAACAGCAAACCTACCTGAGTGCGGAGATTCTTGATCTTTCCTTCAGCAATTTCATTGAGATCCTTGTATTTCTTCACCTCCCCCGTCATTTCCTCTATCTTCTTGTCTGCCAACTGAAGAAGATCAGCCACAAAGGGGTCCTCTACTTGACTTCCAGGGGGGACTTGGGGTCTCTCTGCTGGGGGTAGAGTAGAATCTATCTCCATGCGCTGCCGTCTGAATGGAATGGTCTTCTTTTTTCCTCCTACCCATACAAAATGAACAAATGAGAAATAATTCCAGATACAAAGCATTACTGCAAGCTACAACTATTAAATTAAACAATTAAAACAAGGCAACATAAAAAGAACAGGTGTGAACATTTTTGGTTGAATTATGACAAGAGTTAAAGATTAGAGTTACATGAGTGTATTTCGGAGTCTCCTCATAAGCCATAAAGTTTGCCAGATGGAGTAATCCAATATCAGATTTTGGGATATGTGTTAGGAAGGATAACTAAGGCCGCATTCACATCAAGAAGAGCCAAGGATCTACAAAGCCGAGAACTAAATATGTTGGACGTACATGAAAGGAAAACCACCTTATCCTTTAATGGTCTCTCCGCCTCTCACACGCCTCCCCACGTGTCGTCCCGATGGAGCCGAGATTTAATGACTGTACCCTCGCAGGGACGACTCGTGGGGAGGCGTGTGAGAGACGGAAAGACTTTTAAAAGATTAGGTGGTTTTCCTTTCATGTACGTCCGCCATATTTAGTTCTTGGCTTTGTAAAGCCTCGGCTCTTCTCGATGTGAATGCGGCCTTAGTCTGAACACAGTGGATCAACTCACACCTTGCTTTTCTAGTTTTACATGTTATGAAATTATCAAAACAAAATCATAAAAAATGGACTTAAACTAATCAATGATATGACCAGGGAGCTTGCCCAATGGCACTACTCTGGTCATCATCAGAAAATAGATCAGTCTTTTTGGTTTTTGTGATCAGCATATTATATTCTTACCTGGTGTCTGTACAACAGCATGGAAGTTCTTCTCTTGTAAATGAAGGATCTTGTCAGTCTTGTCCTTGGATTCCTTCTCCAGCACTCTGATCTTGTGGATGTACTGGTTGTTGAGAAACTTGAGGTCTGCATTTTCATGTTCTAGCTTTCTTAAAGAGGCTTTTAAATCTACAACATGAGAAAATTAACAGTGAGAAGTTAATTAATGGTTATAATCAATGTGTCTAAATGTGCACATTTACTTATAGTGAAAATAAACTGCTCCATCTTCCTAAGAATTCATTTATCTATGACCAAGGTTTTCCCATCAAACTGTTCAGCTGTCATTTGAAGGCTGCCAGCATTACTCGAGGGCCAATATTTTCTAATTAAGACAGCTGGACAGCTTATAAATTTTTTTGAAAAATGATGACTTGGACTCTCTAAAATTTTGTAGGAAATTACAGGAGATAATTTTGCACAGCCTGTACCCCCAATACTGGAAAAAACTCTGACTACTGACTGTCTCTGACTATCTTAAAAACAATCCAATGTGACATCCACCAGCATTTCAATTATTAGCATTTCCATCTTTTTTTTTCTTGAAAAACCTCAACTGATGTAATCAAATAACTACTTCATTTAAAAGTAAAAAAAAAATTAATAATAATAATAATAATAATTTTCTTTTTGGTTTCTTAGAAAATGTGGCTTCATTTATATTCAAACCTATTAACTGTTTTCTAATAAAGACACTTGTTTGAACCAGTAAATCAGGCCAGAACAAGAAAGTTGCTCAATGATTGCTATCTAAAATCAATGAAAAGGGCAATAAATAGAGCAAAAAATACATGTCATATGTATTACCTTTTATAGTAAACTCAGCCTCTTCCTTCTGCTTAATATGCTGCAAGTGCAACTCGTTGTTTTCACGCACCAACTTCGCATTGTCACTTTTATAGGGTTCAATCTGCGCACTGAGGGCCTGGGGTTCATCCGAACCTCCACCCGATGCCAACTTGGACTTCTTCAGACTCTCGGTGGTATGAATTAAGTCAGCAAACAACTTCTCCACCAGAGGCAGGGACTCCACCCCCAGAGGCTGCCGATAACCCAGCTGGTCCAGACGCTTGCGCAGATTTGCAAATTTTTGCTGCATTAATGCAGAGGAGGCCATTTTTGTAGTCTTGGTATCAGTGAAATGGTCTCATGTTATTCCTGAAATGATGAAATTAGTTACTTATCAGTATCTAGTCATACGTATATATAGCTTTAGTAGTTGTGTACCCTTCACAATGTCTGTGCTTTTCAATGATTTCCTAAATTCAAGTATAATTATGGTGACCTTGATCAGTGTCCCTACTATTCAAATGAATTAGTTTGTCACCTTACCTGTCATGTGTACACCTGTTTTTTGTTTTTTGTTTTAGAAACTTCAAGAAACTAAAGCTCATTTAAATATGACGAGAGCTGAGATCAGTTCCACAGCATAAAACATAAAACATCAGTAAACTAGAGACATTGCCCAAAGGTATATCATTGCAAATGATCGACTTACAGGTACATGTTTAAGGTGGGGACCACACTCAAACTGCACAATTGGGCAACACTGGGAGAGGGATAGTGGAGGGGGATGGAGAAGGGCAGTAAGGGGGCGAGGTTAGCATAGAATAAAGCGACGTCTAATGATAAATGTTTAATAGTTTCGAAGCGCTTAGTTGGTACATAAGCTCACTTTCTGCCAGATGTCACCCTGAGCGAGTGAGTGGAAACTGAAGTCTAACACAACATTCAATCAGTGTGCATTTTAAACTGCATAGAGGACGATTCTGCAACTGCATCCCTAACTAAAATATAAGAATGGTTGTGAACATTCCGCGTTTGCTCACCTTATGCTCATGTTCCTTTATTTTCATTTAAAACTGAAACATTTTGTTGACTATGAAGAAATACTTCTTTTGAAAATGGCGGACTCTTACATCGTTTCTTTGACTCTTTTGACAGGAGAGCTTCGCATCCAACGCATTTGTCGTTTAGTCGTATCAAACACAATACAATAATAACCTTTTGAGGTTGCATGTGTACAACAGAGAGAGGTTTTTGTACCATCTACGGTAATAGTAATAGTTTTATCAAAAATTAAAGCAATTAATTTGAAAAGTTAAACATTTGTATGGGTAAATATACATCTACTTCAAATTCTTAAATAATTTGAAAGAAAATTAAATGGAACTGCTGCAAACTTAGTGAACAAGTTTAATAATGTATGAAAGAATTCATTCGGATATATTAAAAGAAGATTGCTGCCATTTAATTACCTCAAATTACATATTTTCATTACTCTTATTTTAAATTATTTATCTATGTATTTATTATTATTATTTATTATTGTTATTTTGTGCAGAAACAACTTATTTTTTCACATGCAGTAAAAATGGTGACACAAGTAAGAGATTCATATTTATTTTCTAAATTTCCCTGTGGTTTTTTTTAAATACCACATGAACTGTGACATGTATTTTTCAATTTCCAAGACATAATCACATACCTCTTCTTTCCAATGATCAATGCAGTAGATATACAGTGTCAAATTACAATTGTATAACAACCATTTAAGTATTTATTAATATAAATAATGTAATAAGCAGGTATGTCTCAGACATGTGCTTGGTATATATCAACAGCATAATCAGAAAGGGAATAATCTTGGAGACAGTCTTCAAATAGGAATTAAGTCAGCAGTTCATGTGTAAAAAAAAGCTGCTACTGAATGAACAGTGTCCATCTTAACACAGTTTCCCATTCTTTTTCTCTTCCCAGAACTTCTCTCAGAGCTGAATATTTTACAAGCATGGAGTTGACAATCATGAGTTCTAATAATGCTATTTCACAGGTTTCATATGCCATAGACCATCATTGAGAAAATGTATGTTGTCTATTGCAATGCCTTTGTTCTTCTGTAATCTGCAAAAAATAAAGATTTTTATAAATGTCTTTAAATTGTTGCTTGCTAAAAATACTAATATACTCTTTAAATGAAATTCAAACAAATGCAATAATCACCATTTAAATTTTGTCTTGTAAACTAACTCATCGGAAAACAATAAAGCAATTTTATTTAAAGCAATAATCATGATAATAGTTTAGGACTGACTAATTACTTATTGCATGAAAGGATCTATCAAAAATGACAATTTAAACTCAATAATAATTATCTTAAATGCTCGCAGCCTCCATACATACATTTCATCTGTGGACATTTTGGTTATACCAACAGCTATCGCATTTTCCTTGCCTTCTGCAGTAAGTATCTATTCTACAGTCAAGGTGCAAACATTAAAAATATCTTATCAATATAAAAAACTTCATTTCTCCACTTCAATAAAATAGTTCTTTAAAGTAAGAGATGAATACCTGAACTTTATACTAGATCCCTTAATAATAATAATAATAATAATAATAATAATCACCTAATAGAATACTAACTGATCAAGCATTCCTGTTATCACAATTGCAGAATAATAAATAATAATAAACATGTATTATTAAATTCTACTTGAAGGGATACAACTATGGTGTCTTTGTCCACCCGTGTCATCCTGCCCCCCGGGGACGTGAGGCCAGGACACATGATGTTGGCTCCACTCAGGACAAACCTGATTGCACCTTTGTCCACCTGCATGGCTGGGGCAATGAATGGATCTGAAACAGAGTAGGCAATACTGCACATAGATATATATATATAACTTATATATATATATAACTTAGGGGTCATGTATTTTTATCATCATTGTCACAAGTCTACAAACTGTATGCTGGGGAAGGGAGGGGCTAAAGGCTTTCTGTATGCTTTTCAAAAATTAATATTAATTTGAAATGATTATCCAAATTGCTGTAAAAGGTTATCATCTTTAGCTTTTCACTTTAATTTGTACATTTTCAAATATGGAATGAGTAGAAAACATCCTCCTACTGTAACTTTACTCAATCTAATGCTAAGCAATAAATAATTAAGAGGTTTGACAGAGCCCTGTACTTACATTTATGTACAAGTTTCAAGGTGGGATAAAAAGGACCTTCCCTTTGTTTGAAAAACAGCAATTCACCATTTGCTCCAGCCAACACTTCAATGTGTTCCTGGCTGAAAAAATGGAATAAACATTTGCTAAGTATATGAGATGTGCACTGCACTGCACTGAAATGTTTCTGGAATAGATTTTTTTTCAATTTATGCAATATATATATATATATATATATATATATATATATATATATATATATATGCACTTATAAAGAATAGTCATAAGTATATTGCTAATAAATATAAAAGAATGATTCAGTTATCCATAACAAATACTCAAGCAAAACAAACTCATCTACAATAGTAAAGACAAACAGCATTTTAACACCAAAATTATATGTTTCAGCAAAACGCCTGCAAAAGTCACAAAACAAATAATCTAAAGCTCATTCCCATTTAAAACTATCTATCAACATAGATCGATCCAACTCTCTGAATGCAAGCAGTATAACAGATTAACAGGCTTCCTTGTGGCATTGAGTAGAACACAGAAAATCTGGTGATTACTTGAGCACTGTTAATCTTTAAAACTGACTGCATTCATGAGAGTCCCTGCAAAGTTAGATCAATCTATGAACTGTATACTGACAGTTTCAATGGAAATGAGCACTAAAAGAATCAATCCAAAATCTTATCCAGCTTACCATTTGACCACTTTAAGAGCTCCTTTTTTGGGTACAATTTCATCTAAGTATGGTTCGATCTGTGGGTACTGATCCAAAAGAGTGCTGCGTATTCCTCTCAGGACTGACGACTTCACCTGATTAAGACCAGATACATTCTCCTTTTCCTCAAATCTGAAAATTATTACACAGGAAATGTATTTAAAACTGAATCTTTGATTTTTAGAAGGTTTGAAATTGAACGAGTGCTTACTCAAATGTGCAGCCAAGTCCAAATAAAAGTTATGTCAAATCTTGAAGTTTGAAAAGGTGCCAACTTCAACATTTGTGCAGTGGAAGAAAACATGTCTCACATTACTGGTGTAACAAAACATCAGTGAACACACTGATTTAATTTTCGATGAATACGAAATTTTAAATGTAGCAAGTGAACATGAATGAGTTAAAGGCCATTTATTTTTATGGTCACTAGGGTTAATCTACGTTCAAACATCCCACCTTACTGTCATTCAATGAATGACTGGGTCTAACTAACGTTGCTCACCATGAAAGAGTTATTTTACAATCAAAAGTAAAGTTTAAGATATTTGCGACATCATCAATTAACGTTAAACGAAATGGCACATTTGATTTCAGTGATTTCTATATTCAATTTGTTCTAACTATTAAAATATCCTTACTTTTTAAACATCTTGTAAATTCAGGCAGGTGCTCGTAAATCTAGGTCAATGTCACTAGGTACTTTAGAGCATACGACACTATTTTTGTGATAAAAAAAGCTTAGTAGTGCTATACAACATATTTGAACATGTAATAATAAATAAATAAATTTGAAAGCAAAATACGTGATTTCAATAATTACTTTATTTTGATTGCGATAAAGCTAGTAACTTATTGTCGTAATATTATTCTTGTCATGCGCACATGAGCCTCGAAGGGAGGGCTAGACGGACAGCGAAGGTTATTCATTTACAGATATATTGAGAGAAGAACGTTATATGGAGGTAGGTCTAGGAATACAAAATGTAAATCCAAACCTTTTCCTCTGTTGAGACATTTGGGAGAAATTTAGGTCAGGGTTAAAGACAATTGTCGTTCAATAAGTGAAATTTATAACGGGTAATCGACGAGCATTTTAAACATGGCGGAGCTATTAGACTGTAGATTACCCCTGAGTGTTTTATGTTTTAACTTACAATGTGATGCTTCAGTTTGAAAGATTATGAGATATAAACTTGGCTTAAGTATAACTTGAGTTCAGTTCACGTAGTGATTCTATTACTGGAGTTAAATATATGTGATTTCTTAAACCAATAAACAAAAAATTCAAGTTTCAGTCATTCTTTATGATAATGAGCCTCAGTGTGCGCCAGAGTTTACAACAAATGGATTTTTCACTTAGGTTAATCAATCTCAAAACTTCATATATTTTTTCACTTATCAGGGAGATATAATCAAGGCACCTCACATATAAGCTGTACCTCGTTGTGTGCGGAGAGACTAGTCCACTGCTGGTAGTGGTAGTCTCAACAAACATGAAGACAGGGTAGGCAGCCATGTTTGCAGCAAAAATCTGGTCACATGGAATAAGCATGTATGTTATATGGCATTTTTATATAGATTTTAAAATTCCATCAAATAAGTCTCTTTAATGAATTGTTCCCTTTGGTAACAAGTAGGTAAAATTAGAAGAGTAATTAATGGAAACTAATTCACAAATTTTTCAACAATTATATAGCTCAGAAATAAAATTTATGAATATTATAACAGGTTTTAATATTAACTGGTTATTTGAACTGATTGTCTTTTCAAATTGATGATAATTTTAGGTAAAGGTTGAGTGAGATGTCACAGATGATGTCTAGTCTCACTCTTCATTCTGTAAAACCCCAGTCATGTTTAGCAATGAGACCTGAAAGACTGGCCAGGAGTTGAAGCATTTGTAGTTTTAAATAACTAGTAAGTCCTGGTGAGTTTAATATTGATCATAAATGTAACAATTAGATATTAACTGGTAATTTGAACTTATTGTGTCTTTTCCAAAATACTGTTATTAACCAAGTTTAGTCAGAGATGAAATTGTTACAAGATTAAATGCTAGCTTTGTAAGAAATTTGATAAAATTGATTAATGGAAATGATACTGGCATTTATATATTTAATAAAAATACAAGTTGCATTATGATAGTTGTATTGAAAATAAAAACAAGTGATAATGATGATGGTCATCTCATATTTCAGGTACCAGACCTGTTATTATGTGAAGATTGGACAAGATGTCGGTTCCACGGGTGCCGATAACACTCCTTATCTGTGACCTGTTCTCCTCGGCAGTCTGTGCTGCCACGATATCGTATCCCCCCCTTTTTGCAGTGAAAAGGTGATTGCTGTTTCAAGTCATGGCATTTGCTGCCATCCAAATTATAGAAGACCTATTGAGACTTGTGAACTGCAGGTTTTTATCAGTGTTTTCCGAATGGAATTCAGGTGAAACAATAACAACATATTTTCCTCAACAAGTACACATCACTTTGAGAGCATTACGGGAAGTTTAAATGCATAGTCCAAGAGTTACTGCATAAACTTCACCATGGGGGTCAACATCCGAGTTCACAGACACTAATAACGAGTATGGCCACCATTAGTTTCAAGCAGAGCAGCACATCGATGACGCATGGACATCACTAGGTTGTCAATAATGGCCTGAGGGACATTATCCCATTCCTCCTGGAGTGTTATTCACAGTTGGCGGACATTCTCGGGAGCTGGAACATGACGGCGTACATGCTGATCCAGAACATCCCAAAGGTGTTCGATGGGCAACATATCAGGCGAATACGTCGGCCAGTTGAGGACAGGAATATTCATTTCCTCCAAGAAGTCCCTGCATATTCTTGCCATGTGTGGACGGGCATTATCATGTTGAAAGGTAACATGATGGGAGTGCCACAAATGGTGCAATGATGGGTTGCAATATCTCATCTCTGTATCGTTGGCCATTCAAGTTGCCAACAATAAAATGCAAACGTGTGCGCTGTCCATAGCAAATGCCGGCCCATACCATTACACTACCTCCACCATGAGCCACCCGTCGAAGGACATTAGCGTTGGCAAAACACACACCAACACGGCGCCAAACACAGCGTCTGCCATCAGCGTGGTGCAGCTGGAACCGGGATTCATCACTGAAGAGCACTGTCCTCCACCGTGCAAGTGTCCAGCGCACATGAACATTGGCCCAATTCAATCGGGTCTGATGTCGGACCGCCGTGAGGTCGAGGCCCCCGGTGTGGACGACGTGCTTGAAGTCCAGCCTCCCGCAGACGGTTCCTTACTGTCTGGGCTGAAATACGCCTGTTTTGACGACCAACAGTCTCATCAACAGTCCTGGTTGCTGGTGATTGAGTTCCTGTACTCAACTTTTTGGTAATATAGTGATTGGCCGGTCAAAGGGCAACTTGGGTCTTAAAGTTTTCCTCTGCGTGTGTTCCCATATTCTGCTGCATATTGGTGACGTAGATGATTCCCTTCCATGCATTTTAAAGATTTATAGTACTGTTGGTTGATAGCATTACTGGAATTGTAGTCCAATTTGAAAAAAAATAATTAAAATTCTTTTCTTAAAATTTATTGTCTATGGTTACTCTAGGTCTGGCAAGTCTTCCTCCTCTGATGTGCATGTTTGGCATAGGTTAGCACTGGGCAAGATGCTACTCCACAGCCCAGCAGCCTCTGAGTCCCTGTTGTCCGAGTCGTTGTCTCTATTTGGGTGTCAGTTGGGTGTTACAGGGGTCGTGGCAGTAGTGTCCACTTACCACAGCATGGGCTCTTTCTTTCTCTCTCGCTTATTCTCTCCCAGCTTCTTTCTCTACTGTTTTTCTTTGTCTTCTACCTGGTGATTGCTGAAATGGCACTTCCCTGTTATTTGTACAATTAGTCCGCTGGGGCCTTGTAGTACTTTGTTCGTTAATTGAGTCAGCTGGCCCAATTTTTTTGCTGCATTTTGACAAACAAATTATTTACCTCTGGCAGATCTGCAGTAATATGTCTTACTGCAAAGATCAACGATACCGTCACCAATCCACTCTGCTTAAAATAATCTGGGGTACATTTTCAGGCGTATCAGTGCGCAGAAACCATAGATGTTTTTCTGCTTTGTACTGCTTCCTCATGTGAGGTTTAATTAAGTATTTTAAGCTAATTGCCGAAAAAGATAACCAAGAATTAACAAACATCCGTATATTGTGCCAAAATATGCACAGGTACCAGCATCTGGATTTCATTTTGTAGGAATGCTTAGCCACAATGCAATCATGAAGGTCTACTCCTATGTTTTCATTGTATGACTTCATTACTGCAGGGCGTTGAACACCTACATGCGATTTCTGCGCTTTGTCATATCTTCTGACGCTGTTCATCAGATGAACAACATGCAACGTGGATAGAATGATGACAGCCCTGTGCCTTGAGGACATCTTGGTCTAAAGTAGACTAGAAGCTCTTGCCTTGAGAAGTTTGTTCCTGATGGGAGGGCATCAGGTACTGAGCCTCGCCTGGGAGGGTGGGGCCAGGTGTAGGAGGTTTGCAGGAAAGCATTGTAAGTATATTATGCTGAAAACCTGGAAGGCACATTGCCAATGATATGGCAATATAGGGGGATTTCGTTTCTCTGCTAGGGGCATGGTAAATGATACCTGCCCATCATCGTTGACCTTTGGCTGGGGTATTACAGAAAGGTGGGAGGAAGTAGGGATTTCATGGGTATTTTCTTTAGCCTAGATCTGCAAGCCCTATAATTATTACAAGGACAGTAAATGTCTTGCCTTCAATTAATTACTTCTTACTCTTCACAGATTTTCTGGTGTTTGCTGTGGTAAAACGCCCAATCTCTGGCTGTTCATTTTGCTTCAGCAGATCACTGCATTGCAAAAGAGAATGGAAAGGGGGCCAAAGGCATATATTATATATTCAACATTTGCATGCAGTGCTCAGCAAGGTTTTTGCCAGGTTTCACATTTTTTCAGGCTAGCATCTGTATGACGCATTGTTGTAATTAAGACCTTCTCTTTACTTACGTGAACAATATGAGGATTCTTTTCAGTCTTTTCCATAAAAGAAATTTCACATAACGACTGAACTTCTTTTGGTTTATTCTGGAAAAAAAGGAATATCCATGTTTAGAAAGAAATGTCAGCAACAGTAAAATTTAAGAGTTTCCATAACAGTAAATTGATGTTATTCCTAAGAATGGACAGATTGATTCTTAATTCTGTCCAATAAGAGTAGGATTTCATCATATTTGCTGCACCCACTGCACTGTCTGCGTAATGACGTATCAATTTCAGTTGTTTTTGTTCTTTAATTTAATCCAGGCATGTTCTTTTCAATTCTCACGCCCCTTGCTCGATTTTTTTCTCTCTTGTCACTATGTTATTTGAATTAATATACTCTAAGGTTTACAATTGGTTCCCAAGTATTTCTGCTATAAGGGAACGCCTTCCACTTAAAAAGGTACTTGTCTCTTGCTGGAGGTGCTGGGCCACCCCTGTTCATTCCTTTGGTTGCTGGGAGATTTCCCATACCTATGGCTTCGCGCATTCTTTATCAGGACACACTGCACGCCAAGCTGGGGCTAGTACTGAATTGTCAGTACTGCTCTCAGTTCTTACTACCTCGGGACATATCCAACCCATTTGTCTAATTGTGTCTAAGAAATATTTACATATGATTGAACTCTTATGGTTTGTGTGGTTATGCTTTAACCAAATAATTCTCCTGGAAAACCCATCAATGCAACCATATACTTCAAAATCATGGCATCGTTTCTGTCAGCTATCTTTTTATGCCAAGTATCTGGCACTGGAGCAGGTAACCTTTAAAGAAAAAAAATTGTGATGATGTACCAAAGAAATGGTATTACTCTGTTCTTGCTTCTGTAGATGACCATCTTATTTGCCAACAAGGAGTCAGCAACACCAGTTTCTGCCAGTGATTTTGAGTTTTCTGTTCTGTCTCTGTACTGCTGCCCTTAGCCACTGCTACTATTTCTACTCTTAGGATAAATAGGTGTCTCATGGATGCCCTCTTCAATTCCTGCAACAAAATCATTATGGTGTTCTAGCTGAATTTGCAGTGTGTGTGTCCCTTCTTTTTATATGGCAGTATGCTGTGAAAAGTTTTTCGCCTTCTAGTTGTCTAACAAATGGTTACTTCTTTTGCATAATACTTACCTGTAAAAGCTAATTGATTCTTTTTGATTTATCTCTCTTCCAGTGTTTTTCTGTCTTTGATTTCACATTCTCCCAAGTAACTTGTGCCCTTTCTCTTATGTTTTGTGTGGATCCTCCAAAAGAGACTTCAATAGTAAACAGTAAGTCACGGATAATCCATCACATTCATACATTGAACGAAAAAATTAATTCTTATGCCCTTTACAAGTTCCCCATCTTCAGTATAAGAAAAAGTTTATTCTGCATATTACTACTATTTATTCTTAGCTATGTAGTCACCTTAAAAAGTCTTCTTCAGTGTATACACTTACAAAGAAGTATTCTCATATATAATACAAGGTAGTACAGCTATAAAACAAGCATACTCTTTGCTTGACCAAGCCCTGCACTTTAAGATATCTTTGGAAATTATATTCCATGCACTGTGTAAGTTGGTCGAAGCACAAACAATTACTAGGCTGTCTGATTTTCTGCTGTCTAACAAAGCCATGTTGCCATAGAAACAGCGACGTGCAGTGAACTGCGTGTGATAATGTGCCAGAGCTATGTGTCAATCAATTTTAATTAAAAAAGTTATCGCATGTATAATAAAAACTGACCATAGTTGTCAGTATCTTATGTATCCTCCCTCTACTTGGATACATTCTTAGCACTTTCTACTCTGTCGTGGTACGCAAATTTATGAATAACCATCATAGCTTTAATTGTGGGACTGGGCCCGTATCTGTCTAAGAGTGACCTTTGCACAGTTTGAAAGTTAGATTTGTCCATTAAGATTAAAAAGATGAATCGTTAGAGCTAGATGCAGAGGGTGCTGGTCTGTTGGGTCAATGAGGTGGTGGTATTGTGGTGTTGGTGGCCCAGGTATCCTGGATGGTGTTGTACGCCCATAGTGGCAACGGGAGGCGTCTGTATTTTGGAGTTAGATCAGCCATAGTGAGGAATGCTATTTGAGGACACTTACTCATTCCATTTCCAGTCAGATGGGGATTGGGGACTGGGTCACCAAGGAGGATGATAACCCTCTGGCTCTGGTAGGTTGGTGCTCCTGTTTGGTTGAACAATATGGCCAGGAAGAAGCAGACCTCACCAGGGTATCTGCCTGATGGCTGAATGCCTTGGGAGTGGCGAAATCGAAGTTGGCGATCAGTGCCTGGTTGCACAGGAGCTTGGGCAGGGCTTTCAGGTTATGTTGTCATCTTGGTAGTTGTGGATTTTATTTTATCTAATTGGGTGCTCAGGGCGTTCAGTGTCACCATGGCTGAAGAGGGCTGAATTGGGTCTCAGCTTGGCAGGCATGCTGGACGAGGTGCTCAAATGTCTGCAGAGCATGTTAAGCTACAAATGGCCTGATTTCAGGTAAAACCCCATGCAGGATTGCCTGAATGGTATGTTCAGTATGGAGCTGGACTTTCGTGGCCTCGCATCTCATTTCAGCAATGTAGCCTTGAATTGGCTGGTCTGGTTTCGGAGTCTTGTGAAATAATTTCGAGACCATAACCCATCTGGGGTTCTCCGTTGGTTTAAAGCTCTCCTTAAGGAGTCTATGGTGCCTTTTTGTTGATCTGACAGCCTGTCAAACCAATCCTGGGCCACATTTCTAAGCAACAGTGAGTAGGAAGCAAGTTGCTGCGCCTCATTCATGTTTCAGATCAATTTTCAGATGCCACAGCCACCTGCCTGGGTCTTCTTGAGGGGTTCCATTGACCTTACCTGACAAAAGGAACTACGCGGTATAGCTTTAATTGAGGGGTTTTCACTTTAAACCTTATGTTAGCCCATGACAGTAGCCTTTCCTTGTGATTTTGGTGCTCTTTGAATGCATGGCATAATAACTTCTTAACATTGCCCTATACCCTTATACAATGTTATTGTATGCTGACAAACAGTGATGTCGGGTGCCTTGCATGTATTGCTTTGTGCGCTGTTGATGTGGACATATTTTTGGTGTTGCTTTGTACCTTACAGTGTCATTATTTATCTATGACAGTTAAGACAACTTGTGTGTATTTTAAACAATAGTGTTTCTTCACACAATATTTTCTTGGCCAGTATAGGTGATCTTTCCATTGAGAATTTTTCATCACTTTATGCTCTCAGAAATATATACACCTATCAGAATTGTGACCAAGCTGTCTATACAGCAAACATTTTGCATTCTATTTGTTAACCTGCAGGTAGTTTCATTGGCTATAATTATATTTTATATCTTTTAATTCAACTGACTTAAGTTCCACATATAATGTTATGATGCAACTGACAATAGTTATACATTTAACATTATTTTACAGTAAGACATAGTTATGTGTTGTGAAATCGATCTAAAATCTGGGAAGTTTGTATATATTTAACATTATTTTACAGTAGGACATAGTTATGTGTTGTGAAATCGATCTAAAATCTGGGAAGTTTGTATATATTTAACATTATTTTACAGTAGGACATAGTTATGTGTTGTGAAATCGATCTATAATCTGGGAAGTTTGTATCTACCTCTTGTCATCAAAGATATAGTAAGATAACTGCTCAAAGTATTGAAGATAGATAGAGCATTAATGTTTTAAAAGTAAATTCAATTTAAAAAAATATTTGCAAGTGAAAGAATTCTGTGTAAAGATTACATTAATAAAATTGGTTTTTTTAATGTACGTAATTTGTTGTTTGTTTTATATTGTCTGGTTGTAATGATTTGTTCCTTGTTAAGAGCAATGAGAGTGGATAACGACTTTGACAGAAACGTGTGAAACTTATAACTATTATCTTTTGAAGTCAATTAGTTCTGTTCATAATTTACTGTTTAACAAAACCCATTATGCAACGCGACCGTCTGAGGCACACATTTTCAACAATATTTAATCTGAAATTTATCATCGCTCCTGATTTGCAAATGGCAAATGTAAAAATAAAACCCAAGTGAAAACTGCAAGCTAAGAAATTTGAAACGAGCATCATGTTTGCAAATCACACCCTAGTTAGGTCTTTTAATAAAAATTTAATGAGGAAAGCCGCGGGTTTGTCATTCACATTATTATATGGTCATTTTTAGGGTCAACACCACTGCACAATCACATTTGGGGTGTTGAGCAAAATTTTTAATGCTTTACATAAAATGTTGACATATGCTATGCAGGGGCGGATTCAGGATTATTTTAAGGGGGGTGCGGATACATATCCGACCCCCCCCCCCCGCTTGGCATGGGGTTGGGGCCTGCTGAAGGGCCACGAAAAAACTTGGGTGTTTTAGAGGGCGCATGGTGCCACTTGATTCAGCTACTCAAAATTCTAATTACAAGAGGGGACCACTGGTTTTTTTTTTTGTTGTTGTTGTTGTTGTTTTTTTATCGAAGGGGGGGGGGGGGGTCCGGCCCCCCCCCCCCACA